GGAAGTAGAACGTCCCTCTTCTGCACACTCAGTTCCATTTCCACCCCTTCTCCCCATGCTGTAAAACCCAAACTCTCCACATTTGAGCCCAGTATGCAGGTCATTAGAGGACAGCTTCCAGCTTTGACCCCTTACTCCAAATGGTCCATCTGCAAACGGTGGAAGAAATGAAATTGTTCTGGCCATCTCAGTGACCTGGAGCTGGAGAACTAAGTTCACCATGAGCATGTATCTACAAGGGGATGAAGTTTCCAGAAAAGAGAGTTACCTTGTCAGTTTCAACAGCACTTCTTCACACTGTTGCTTCTTCTTCACCAGCTGGTCTTCATATGGGATAGTCCACAAAGGAGTCACCACGTCTGCTATCTGCTTGCTCAGAGACTCCTCTTCACCTTTTAAAGGTGGGCGCTTGGCTGCAACGTCTTCAGTCCCTTCCTCTCTCTTCCTCTTCTTCAAAATGGGATCTGCCTTTGGCTTTGCCAACCGGACGCTCAGGTTTCGGTTCTTCCACCGGACCCCGTGGAGAACTTTCATAGCTTTGTCCCTTTCTTCCTCACTCTTAAAGGTGACAAAAGCAAAAGTCTGTTTCCCCATCAGTTTTATTTTATGCGGGTTAAGTCCATATCTTGCGAGGAATTTCTTTACTTCATTAAAACCAATATATTTGGGAAGATTCTGAAGTTCTACCTTATAGATTTCTGAAGTAAACAAGTCATCTTTAATATACCTGTACATGTTGGAAGTATCTGAAATATTCTCCGTATTTTTCTCTTCAGTTTGGACCGCTGACTCTGGAGTGTTACTTTTTGTATCAGCCGAGCACACGCAATCATTGTTTTCTTCCATTATTTCAGCTACTCTGTAAAGAAAAACAACAGAATCGACTCTCTTACAGCCCACAGTACTAAATACTGAACCACATCACAGGGAGATAACTTCAGGCTCATCAGTATAAAAGCTAACCTAATAAATTATCTTTGGGGCTGTCACGCCAAGTCAGAAAATGGAGTAAATCAAAATTAAATTGAACAATAAGCATTGTAGAAAATCTTTTGTGACTCTTGGCCAGTTAGGCTGGGTTACTAGCATGCTGGCTTTACACCAGCTCCAGAAGGAGAGGTGTGTTCGCTGCCTCGAGTTGACCAAATTATCTATCTGTAAAAAAGCCAGGGTAAAAATTTAATAATAAGAAAAATCAACTTTAAGCAATTACAAGACAATGTGTGGGTCAGCAGCTCTACTCCATGGGAACTACTAAAGGATCAGGAGCCTAACATCCAAAAGAAGGACAACTCTAATAAACTCATCCTAGCAAAACGTTAACCAGACAACCAGCGTAGTAGAAAGCAGAAGCCATGGATTGATCCAGGAACGTCTAAACATCCCAGTTTCCTTCTACTGGGAGAGTGAGTGCTAGTTATGCTGGGAAAGGGTGCCTTCCAGCTCATTCTGTTTTAACTTCTGTAGATGGGGGATAATGGGAGCCGTAATCCAAGGGACCCTTGCAAGGCTGTAGAGCAGCGTTTCTCAACCTCAGCCACTTTTAAGATGAGTGGACTTCAACTCCCAGAATTCCCCAGCCAGCATTCGTGGACTTCAACTCCCAGA